GCTGATGTTGGGGGTGTGGCCCAGCTCGTCGGGGGGGAAACCATATGGCAACTTCTGATGACGTGCTGGCGGCATGCACGCGCTTCACGCGCGCGCACATGCATACAGAGCTGGGTCCCGGACTCGTCGGAGCCTCCCCCACCAGTGAGTTTGCCAGACTTGGCAACCCTACTCTCACCATTGTGAACAAAAGCTGAGAACATTCCCCCTGTCTTTGGGAGTAACTCTCTGTCTCAATCTAGTCTGACTCTCAGAGGGCTTGTTGTGGGACCAAAACAACATACTTAGAGGCAATGTTCCCTCTAAGCTGTTGAATATAAACATAAGAACATAAGAGATGCCAATGTTGGAACAGGCCAAAGGCCCATTCAGCCCAACACTCTGTATCACACAGTGGCCAGAAATACCAGGCGCCATCAGGAGGTCCACCAGTGGGCAAAGACCAGTTGAGTCTTGTGAGCAAAAATTCCACTTTGTGAGCTACCGGCATTAAAGTTGTGAGCGAGCGATTTGGCTCCTGCATAAATTAGTCTGCTCTGGAGCCATCCTTCCTGAGCTAAGACAAAAATTTGTGAGCCAGAGGCTAAAAAAAGTGTGCTAGCTCACACTAACTCAGCTCAGAAGGAACACTGCTTAGAACGATAATGTGATACAAACAAGATCCTCTGTGTACTTTTATTCCCTTGAGAAGACAAAGCAAAGTATTTGAAAACTGCATCATAAAATACATGTAAAATTAGGGAATGTTTCCATTGTGGTATATGAAGCCCTTGGGGCCAAAGAGATTCAAATAGCAAGGCTCACTGGCCCAGAAGTTGGCATCAAAGGTGATGGAGCTATCCCAGTGAGGCTCATCAGCAGCATGTTATCTTACTGAATCCTCAAGCACTGGAAAAAAACATAGAGACAAAGAAATATAGCATATTGTTACTCCAGTGACAATCAGATTTAAGGATCGGAACGACAGCAAGTTATATTGATCAACACTTAAGAATACCTTAAAGACTGCTTTGGAGGAGCATGCTAAAGCAGCGTCTCGAGTCAGAAGAATTCTGCAGCAAGGTATCGATGCTACGGTGCTACACTAGATAGGGGAGCACACTTGTTCCACTTGCTAAATTATGGCTGATTTCGCACTAGAGCTGCCTCGATGTTGCACTGCCGTTTGCCCCGATACTATTGGTCCATTTCACACCCGAAGCCGCGGGGCTGCATTCTGACCCGCGGCTTTGCCCGATTTCCTCCGCAGTTTCGTGATCCTGTTTTTTGAGGATCACGAAACTGCGGAGGAAATCGGGCGAAGTCGCGGGTCAAATGCAGCCCCGCGGCTTCGGGTGCGAAATTGACCAATAGTATCGGGGCAAACGGCAGCGCAACATCGAGGCAGCTCTGGTGCGAAATCAGCCTATGTTTTTATAAAGTGTGTCGTCAAGTCTCAACCAACTCCTGGTGACCCCGTGAAGTTCCACCTCACAGGGTTTTCAGGGCAAGAGATGAGCAGAGGTGGTTTGCCATTGCCTGCCTCTGCAGAGTCTTCCTTGGCCATCTCCCATCCAAGTACAGACTCTGCTTCACTTCTGAGCTATGACAAGGTTGGGCTAGTCTGAGCTATGAAGGCTGCTCCAGGTACACAGGCACAAACAAAAATATTTACAATAGATTTATGTTTCAAGACAAGCAGTACTTTAAGATAGTTTCTGTGTTTTATTTTCTTATCTGGGATGCAGAAAGTTACCTTGAGAACGTGCTTTTGATTAGGTGGTGAAAGGAAGAGGCAGTCCTCTCCTGCTGTCCCTGCTGTTATCCATTTTAGGGCCAGATCATATTTGACTGTAAGAGTTCTGCCATGAATGAGCTCCAAGGAGGTTTCCCCCCTGTGTTATAGAGCAGGTATGACAAATCCTGAGTGGGACTCTCACTATCATGTGTTTGGGGGAGCATTTTGCTTGTACCATTTCCCCAAATTGAAATTACCCTTTTGAGCTCTTTAACGTAAATATCCTTAACCAATCAGAACTTGCATGTTTGCCCCAAAAGGAAACAGAGGAGATTACTGGGGCTCATTTCAGGTTTTGAAAATGGCATGGAAGGGAATGCTTAATCACCCCTTCCTTACACCATGTACCCCATCAGAATCAGGCCTGCTGGTCAACAGTCATAGCTAAGAAAGAGTTCTTCCGATGTCTCTAAACAATATCATGGGGGACTGTTGCATAAACTCCTGATTGAAAGAGAAAATCAGAGCAAAATGTAAATAGTTTGGACAGTTTCGCACTGTAACTTGAACAAGAAAGAAATGAACTAGGGATGGGCATAAACACAGTTTTGCAGTTCAATTCATGGTTTGTGGCTGAACCATGAAATGAACCATGAACCCATACGAACCGGTAGGTTGGTTCGCAAACTGACCTGGTTCATATTGGTTTGGAAGCCATTTATAGTTTAAACTCCTGCTATCTGCTCCCCATGGCTTTTTGCAGGGAGCAGAAAGCAGGCTTTAAATGGCTCTGAGCCACTTAAACCAAACAGCTATTTTTCGTGAAGAGCAGAAGGCAGGGGCTTACAAACCGCCACAAACTGCATCAAAATTCATGGAAATTTGTTGTTGTTCTTCAGTTAATGAACATTGCTTTGTGAACCATGAACTAGCCAAAATTCGTGATGAACCTTAGTTCGTCAGCCTGTTTGGGCCCGTCCCTAAAGTTGACAGGGTCAGAAATGTAGTTTGAACAGCGGGTTTGCAAACCATGATTTTATTAATCAGGGTTAAGCACAACTTATATATGAAGTTAATCATGGAGAAGGCTGTTTCCCAGCCCTTTCAGGAATTCAGGTTCCAATGTGACAAGGCCATTTAGCCAGTGCCTCTCTGCCCATAGGGTATACTTTACCTTGGCCCCTGTCACACGGGGGGGGGGGGGAAACACCGGCAAAGTGTGGCTTTTTAAAGCCGCACCAAAAAAGACATGCGGCGGTGGGATCACATAGATCCCCTGAGCTGCCGCGCACTTCCTCCCTGGCATGATCAGATGCCGGGGGAAGCCACTGAAAGGGGAGCAGGCAGCTGAACTGCGCATATGTGCGCATGCGCAGTTTGGCTGGGAGCCAGAATTGCTCCAGACGAAGCACGCGGCAGCGATCCCACGGCCGCGCTTGATGCGGCATTCCCGGTAAGTCCACCTCTGGGGGTGGTTCTTTTTTACTGCGGGTTTTCAGCTGGAAGGGTCGGATCGGTGAGATCGTGCCTGTTTGCCGCACCCCCGATCTGTCCCTCTCCTGGGCCAAAACCTTCCGTTTGACCGGGGCCCTTGCCTTAGTTGTAGTGAGGCAGCAGGGTTTCACTAAACCATGACTACAGTACAGACATACATATGTACCATCAAGATGCAACTGACGAATGGAGACCCAAGTATGTGTCTTTCAATGCAAGTGAGAAGCAGAGGTGGTTTGCCATTGCCCTTTTCTGAAGAGCCTTCTTTGGTGGTTTCCCATCCAAATACCCCGCTTAGCTTCAGCGATCTGACAAGATCAGGCTATACCAGGGGTGGCCAAACTGTGGCTCGAGAGCCTCATGTGGGGCTTTCACACATATTGTGCGGCTCCCGGCAAGGTGGCTGGGGAAGCTAAATATCACTAGCAAACAAATATCATTGGACAAATAAATATCATTATCAATATCTGCCTTTACCCCTTTTGTTATTATTTTTGGCAGTCTCATTTGCATATTTTCCAAAACAAACAAACATGTAATATCTGTTCCTGTCTTGTGGCTCTCCAACATCTGATGTTTATTCTATGTGGCTCTTACATAGAGCCAGTTTGGTGTAGTGGTTAAGTATGCGGACTCTAATCTGGGAGAACCGGGTTTGATTCCCCCACTCCTCCACTTGCACCTGGCTGGATGACGTTGGGCAAGCCATAACTCTGGCACAGCTGTCCTTGAAAAAGAGCAGTTTCTGTCAGAGCCCTCTCAGGCCCACCTACCTCACAGGGTGTCTGTTGTGGGGAGGGGAAGGGAAAGGAGTTTGTAAGCCGCTCTGAGACCCCTTTGGCTAGTGAAGGTTACGGGGTATAAATCCAATCTCTTCTTGTCTTCTTCTTACATTAAGCAAGTTTGGCCACCTCTGGGCTATACCACACCTGCCTTCCCTTCCTATGGTTACAGTACACATCTGGAATTTTAATTTCATTTAAAGCATTAAGAATGGCTAATTGGCCTCATAGAAAATGAAGGCATTTATATGGCAACCATCACAGAAGTATTGAACAGTACAATTTCATACGCTAATAAAGTAACGAGCCGTGCATTTTACATTGCTAGAGCAGCAAAATAAGTTTAGATGTAATAAGAAAGTACTGCATATATCTGATTCTTCTGCCTCCCCTTAAAGGTAAAGGTTTCCTTGCTCGAAAGCCAGTTGAGTCCGACTCTAGGGTTGCGGTGCTCATCTCTGTTTTAAAGCCAAAGAGCCAGCGCTGTCCGAAGACGTTTCCGTGGTCATGTGACCGGCATGACTAAACACCAAGGCGCACGGAACGCTATTACCTTCCCACCGAAGTGGTACCTATTTATCTACTTGCAATTTCTTGCTTTCGGACTGCTAGGTTGGCAGGAGCTGGAACTAGAGACAGGAGCTCACTTCGTCATGTGGCACACCTGGGTCTCAAACGGCTGAACTACCGACCTTCCACAGCCTGCAGTTCAGCGTCTTAACCACTTGAGCCACCGCAGCTCCTCCCCCTCCCCTTACTTCTTTCTAAAAGAGAAAAGTGGTTTCTTTCATGACTTCAGAATTTCCACAAAAACGTACATCTCTAATTACGCGTGCTCTAGGAGGCCAGGATGAAAATCGGACACTCTGTGGGAATGAACATGATGCTGAGTTTGATAGGTTGATTTGGGGCTTCTCATGTTACAAGGCTCATTTTGATGTTATTCCATTTCCAAAGAATGTTACTGACTCCTGTACTTGCCCTTTCATTGCAGGCAGAAAGCAAGAATGGGAACCGAGAACCTTACATTTGTGACAGAGTTTATCTTGGCAGGACTCTCCACCAACCACCGGAAGACACAGATTTTACTTTTTTTGGTAATCCTCCTCGTATATTTATTTACTCTTGTGGGGAATCTGACGACCATCGTCCTGGTACGAACGAACTCCCACCTCCACACCCCCATGTACTTCTTCTTGATGCATCTCTCAGGCCTAGAGATATGTTATGTCACCACCACCTTGCCCCAGACGCTGGCTCACCTCCTGTCTGGAAATGGATCCATCTCTTTCAGTCGTTGCATGTTCCAGATCTACGCTTTCCAGTCCTTGGCTGGCACTGAATGCTTCCTGCTGGGTGCCATGGCTTACGACCGCTACTTGGCCATCTGCCACCCCTTGGTATATACCACTGCCATGGGCAGATGGTGCCAGTGGCAACTTGCTTCTGCATCTTGGGTTAGTGGCTTCCTCCTTGCCTTGATAAACGTGGTATGCACTCTTCATTTCCCCTTCTGTGGCCCCAACCACCTCAACCACTTCTTCTGCGAGCTACCAATGTTGTTGAAACTTGTTTGTGCTGATACTCCAGTCCTAGAAGCCATCCTTTTGGGGACAGCTGGGTTGGCCATCCTGGGCCCTCTGTTTGTAATCTTGACTTCCTATGGACTCATTCTGTCCTCTGTGTTACGAATGCAGTCTACTTCAGGACGTCATAAGGCATTCTCCACCTGTGCTTCCCACTTGGTCGTGGTCACCTTGTACTATGGCACCACCTTCTTTATGTACTTGATACCTCGGTCACGCATGGCCCCTGATCGTGATAAGAAGATTGCTGTCCTCTATGCTGTCGTCACCCCTCTCCTTAACCCAATCATTTACACTTTGCGGAACAAGGATGTCCACAAGGCAGTGACGAAGATGTTGAAAAGGAAGTCCTTTGAATAAAAACACTAATGCTTAAATACTTAAGAACTTACAAACGTTTTTATTGCTTTCATCCTGTTTTATACGGGCTTTGCCCCTTGTAAGCTGCCCTGAGCCCGCTTTGCGGGGAGGGAGGGGTAAAAATCCCAACAAATAAAAATAAATAAAATAAAAAACTTAAGAGAAGCCATGTTGGATCAGTCCAATGGCACATCCAGTCCAATACTCTGTGTCACACAGCGGCCAAAACCCAGGTGCCATCAGGAGGTCCCCTGGGGGGGGCCAGAACTCCAGAAGCCCTCCCACTGTTGCCCCCCAAGCACCAAGAAGACAGAGCACCACTGCCCCAGACAGAGTGTTTCATCTATACTTTGTGGCTAATAGCCACTCATGGACCTCTGCTCCATGTGTTTCTCCAAACCCCCCTTGAAGCTGTCTTGCTTGATGGTTCTGGTCTTGTTTGGAGGCTGTTACAAATCATACTGGTACCAAATGTGACAGAGTGACTGCAGAGTAGGGTTTAGGCTTGGGGAAACATTTTTTTCTGCCCAGCTATGCCCAGTTTATTTAGTGGTCTCTGGCATGGCGCTGTACTCAGAGACATATGAATATACCTTTTTTATTCCTTTTCATTTTCTAATTTTTATTTCCCCCCTTTTCATCCCTGGGCTGCTTTCGCACTAGAGCTGCCTCGATGCTGCGCCGCCGTTTGCCCCGATACTATTGGTCAATTTCACACCCGAAGCCGCGGGGCTGCATTTTGACTCGTGGCTTCGCCCAATTTCCCCCGCAGTTTCGTGATCCTGTTTTTTGAGGATCACGAAACTGCGGAGGAAATCGGGCGAAGCCGTAGGTCAAATGCAGTCCCGCGGCTTTCGGGTGTGAAATTGACCAATAGTATCGGGGCAAACGGCGGCGCAACATCGAGGCAGCTCTAGTGCGAAAGCAGCCCTGGTTTTTTATCTGGCCCCGGATTCAAGTGACCTCATAGGGTTTTCAAGGCAAGAGTCACACAGAGGTAGCTGGCTACTGTCTGCCTCTGAATAGTGACCTTGGACTTCCTTAGTGGTCTCTCGTCCAAGAACTAAGTAGTGCTGACTCTGCTTAGTTTTCGAGATCTAACGGGATCCAGCTCGCCTGGAACATCCAGGTCAGACAGGGACAAAAAAGGGGGGAGGAGAAAAAACCTGAACCTAAAACTTAGAATCCAGAACCTGGATATTGGAGAGGAGAGGAGGAGGAGGAGATTGGATTTATATCCCGCCCTTCACTTGGAGTCTCAGAGCGGCTTACAAACTCCTTTCCCTTCCCCTCCCCACAACAGACACCCTGTGAGGTGGGTGGGGCTGAGAGAGCTCGGACACAAACTGTTCTTTCAGGAACAGCTGTGCCAGAGCTTGTGACTGACCCAAGGTCACACCAGCAGGTGCAAGTGGAGGAGTGGGGGAATCAAACCCGGTTCTCCCAGATTAGAGTCCGCGCACTTCACCACGACACCAAACTGGCTCTCTGGCCCTCTTTCTTGCATTTGACTAACCTTTGTCAGGTTCTGACATCCAGGTCAGAGCCAGTGGTGTGTAGCCCCTGGAGAATCTGTCACAGGGGCCATCTCTGGACAATAAGTATCTACTCAGGACATAGAGGGTCAGCCATTCTGATCCATTAGCCTAACCAGGATATGGTTGTTCACCACTTGCAGCACTTGATATGAGTGTTTGAGAGAACATGTCCAGAAGGGAACCATAATTACTGTCCAAGTCATGAACAAATGAAATAAGGACAGTGAATGTATGTTTTTAAAAGTCAACAAAAAGTGTGTGTGTGGGGGAAGCAGATAGAATCATGATAGAATTACAACAGACCGGTAATCCCCAGTGTCACAGACGTACACTATCAACACTGCTTTCGCAAATCCGGAAGCTGCAGCTAGTGCAGAATGCTGCGGCCAGGCTGCTGATGGGTCTCTCGAGGAGGGACCACATTCGGCCTGTGCTGAAAGCGCTGCACTGGCTGCCGATAGCATACCGGATTCGCTTCAAAGTGCTGGTTTTGACCTTTAAAGCCCTTTATGGCCAGGGTCCAGCCTACCTGAGGGACCGCCTTTCCCCATATGTTCCCCCAAGAGCACTACGGTCAGGGGGGCGTCATCTCCTGGAAATTCCAGGCCCTAGAGATGTTAAAGTTGCGGTGACCAGGACCAGGGCATTTTTGGTGGCAGCTCCTACCTGGTGGAAGGAGCTCCCAAAAGAGATCCGGGCCCTGCGGGACCTTTCTCAGTTCCACAAGGTCTGTAAGATGGAGCTCTTCCGCCAGGCCTTCGAGTAGGAGCCGCTGCCGTCACTGTTCCACCTCCGCCACCTATGTACTGTCATATTACCATCATGATTATCTGGACCCCACTGGGGGAGCGAGGTGTCCGGGCAGGGATTGGATGACAAGATTTCAGGAAGTTACTATGGAGGTTAAGATCTACCCATCTTGGCTAAATTTGTATTGTAAAATTGTTACTGTATTTTATTGTAATTTATTGTTTTACATTTTGTGTTTTATTGTTATAACCTTGGTACATAGTGCCCTTGTCAGCCGCCCTGAGCCTTCGGGGTAGGGCGGGATATAAATTCAAACATAAATAAATTTTAAACAATCTGAAAGAATTGTGATAGGAATACAGTAGACCAGTGTTCCCAGTCAGAGCACCCTCTTCATTGCTTTTGCATCTACAAAGAGCGCCCATTCAGAGGCAGCCACTTCTACTGCAGGTCACTGCCTAGCTTGGGATTCCTTAACATCTTATGATTGGTCAGTGCTCCACGGTGGCCATTTTGTGGTGTTGCCTATAGCCCTTTCTCAAAATTCCAAGAGCATAACAAGGCCGAGGACATGTCCACTAGGGGAAACAAAACAGAGGCACACTCCTGCTTGAACAATTGGCAATCTGACAAGTTGTGTTGAACTGTCTCCATACTGTGATAGAAAACCATTCGAAACAGAATGGTTTGAGTCAAACCGATGACTGTTAGAATTTCTTCTGCGTCTTGACAGGCTGGAAGGATCTGATTATGGACCTAAGAATTTCAAGGTTTGTTTAACATCTGTCCTCCCCGGCTTTATATCCTTGGTACTGTGCACAAAAGCTGACCAATGTCCTGACTCTCTTTCCTTACTTTGTAATGTCATGTTAGAACATTCAGATATTCACTTGCGTGGGCTTGGGGAAGTCTCTCCATCTCCGTTGAGTCTGTCTTGCAGAGGTTATTCTGAGGCTAAAACACTAGTCGTGGTTCCTTAGGGCCATGATGAAATACAAACAAATTAATTGAAGGATCCAAGGCGTCCTTTATTCCCTTGGGCAGATATTACAAAGTAGTTGAAAACTTGCATTGTAGCAGCAACATAAACAATGTTGAATTAAGGAATGTTTCCATTTTGTTTTGTTAAGCCCTTGGGCAATTCAAGCAGCAAACTGTTAATGATCCAGAAGAGAACACCAAAGGGAATGGACATATCCCAGTGGAGGACATCCAAAGTCCATGATCTTACCAGATTCTCAAGTGTTCTATGATCACTGGAAGCAAGAAAAGAAGGTATTTTCATCCTTGCACCAGCCAGAATAGTTGGGGATTTCAACGAACTGGGTTACTTTATAATCGCTTGGAGAAGCCTATTAGTCCTGCTTTGGGGGCATAGCATAGGGGTAGAGTACATGCTTTGCACATATAAACGCCCTAGAATCTCAATGTAGAAGAAGAAGAAGAGATTGGATTTATACCCCACCCTTCACTACCCAAAGGTGTCTCAGAGCGGCTTACAAACTCCTTTCCCTTCCCCTCCCCGCAACAGACACCCTGTGAGGTAGGTGGGGCTGAGAGAGCTCTTGACAGAAACTGCTCTTTTTCAAGAACAGCTGTGCCAGAGTTATGGCTTGCCCAAGGTCATTCAGCCAGGTGCAAGTGGAGGAGTGGGGAATCAAACCCGGTTCTCCCAGATTAGAGTCCGCGTACTTAACCAATACACCAAACTGGCTAAAGTAGCAAGCCATCAACAGACTCTATTATAGACCTCAGGTAGCTGCTGCCAGCCAGCCAAGTGAGACAATGCCTTGCTAGAAGGACCATTGGGCTGACAGTATAATCTACAGTAACACTTAAGATGGACCACCTTGGAATAGCTGGGCGTGTTCCTTCTATCTTGGAATGGAGATTCTGATGGACAATAGTAGCAAGCTAAGCAGCACATTCCTAGTCAGTAGTAGAACCATCTCCCCTATTTGGCATACGTGTGCATGTTCTTCAGACACACACCCCCATTTTACAGCCAAGCAATTCTATTTGATTTCTGCTGCTGTATCAGAGACACAAGACATCTGCCTTCTGAGATCTACCACAGTAGCCTTCTGATTTCAGAAAAACAGAGAATCTCTCTGTCAATAACCTCTTTGCAACAGGTGCTGCATGTTCGGCCCTGGTCACTGACCGAGCAGTGACTATCTTTTCAATTTCTCAACATCTTGCCTGTGAAACTGGACTGAAATTCACTCCACTGCTGGACACCTCACTGCTGTGAGATGAGAGACTCTTTCTTGGTTGTTGAAGAACACCTGGGGAGATACCTGAAGGTAAGCTTATATTCTACAGTCCAGAATTCACATTGCACACACCTTGTTATTTTAGCTTGTATTTTGGGGGCTAGAGGTACTTCTGTTTCCTTAACTTCTGCAACATATCTAAGGGCATGTAGAAATGAGGATTCTGCATTATGGAAATCTTCTTACCACAGTCTAATCCAGATATAATAATTATGGTTTAGAACTGAGGTCAGGAAACCATGGGTCGGATCCTATCAGATTTTCCACTGGTGAAGGAGAAAGGAGAGTCCTCTTTGGCCACCTAAAAAGACTGTGGAAGGGACTGTGCGGCCTACTAGTATAAAACTAAGAAGGATGGGTCTGCAATGGGCAGGAGAATTGGACAAGTGAGCAGAAAAGCTAGGAGGATCCAACCCAGATTTTTTTTTTCCTGGTT